AAAGACATTATTGTGTACAAACTTTTTTTTACAGAGAGGTTATTTTTCATAATAGCCACGTCAGTTACTGTCCACAACAGTAAGCTGATTAGCAAATGAAAATGTTCGTTGTAACTCAAAGATAAAATACATGTGTAAAGCCGTAAGAAGGGTTTAAAAAGTCCTTTACAAAGATATCGGTGGAATTACTTACCTCCCCCGAAAAAAATACACATGCCACAGCATTAGAAAAAGCCAATTGGCAAGGCCTGATAATAAAAGGGACGTGAAGACGCTAACAACTAGAGCACTGACATATCTTTGGGAAGTGAATGTAAAATCTTAGAAGTCGGTAAGAATTTTAATTAACGGGGCTGATCTACTTGCAGAACAGGGAGGTTTGATTTTTTTCCTGTCGTGATTTAGTCAGATTTTTGTGATAAAATGCTCATTATACGATATCTAAATTCGTGGGAAATTTACTTATGGCTCGCAGTATCCCTTTTCTGAGGTTAAGTGTCCACAGGCTCAACGTCTATAGTTAACCGTTTCGAAAGAGAACGTGCACCCAAATCTGTGTAGATATTGGCAGAGTATTTTGTTCGAATAATGAAACCCAGTCTCTTTGCATCGAAAATGGGAGTCCATTTCCACAGTGCGAATTCTAAAGGTACTGGGCCGGGGCTCTCCTGGTAAATAAGCGGTCGCTTGAACACATAATATTGCCCTCTGGAGACGGCCAGACTGCCTGGTTTGAATTCGCCAGCAGATCATTTGCTGGTCTCCTGAACATTTCAGCAAGGGGCCTAATGGTAGACGCGGGGGATACGGCAGAGTGGAAATGGATCTATTCATTGCCTGTTTTGGTAATGTTGCTTGACGTGACTGAAATTCCATCGGGTTGCTCGGGTGAATTAAGGCCTCACTAATACAATAAAGGGGGCGTTCAAGTAGGTCATGGAGGTATCAATCGAACTCTGTAAGTCGAACTAACACCTACAAGGCACAGTGTTAAGGCACCTCTACTATGTATTTTAACACTGTCTTTTAATAGGTGCATTTTGCTTGTACCATACTGCCGTGAGCATTTTGACTCAAAAAGGATAATGGTTTTCATGGGTAACAGTTTGATCGCTTCACGGAATAATGAAATCAGGGGGAAAACGGAAAATTTACAAATCAATAATATAAAACGGGGTTGCATAACAAAAAGCGTTTGAAAACGTAGCCAGCATATGCATCGGACAGTAAGGAATGCGCATGGGATTAATTTATACTTATTACGTATTACACATGACAGGCAATCCAGTCTTGTGGCATTGGATGGATATTAAGTCGACGGATGGACAATCCATTAAAGGTATTGATGCAGTGCGCTTGTCAGCACAATTGCTGCAGTCATTCTTACTATCTTAACGACCTCATTGTCCTGGAGTATTTTTGACGAAGACACTCTTTCAAGGAATGAGCAGCAAACGGAGGCTCATCTGGAAGTCATTTTTTGTTGTAATGATTTAGCTGAGTATCGATTCATGGATTGGAAAAAAGACGTCAAGTTTAATTGACGTCCTGCCGTTTCGGGCTTCATTAATGGTAATCTCATTGTAAACGTTGTTGCATTGAGAGTACATGGGAACCCATTCTGTGAAAAGTATACAGACAACAGTTGCTTTGGAGCGATATTTTGTTTTTCCAGTGCGAGTTCAATCTGTGCTGTTTTATTTCGTCAGAAAGGAGGAACGTCCAAGACGGTGATGTACCCAGACAGTCTTTCTATTTACATGTAGGACAGCGTCTGGTGATAGACTTTAAAATACAAGTTTATTGATGTCAGTGCAATATGAAGGATAGGCCTATGTATCATCCACACATGGGGAAGAAGTTACAAACTGCACCCCTTTACAGATCCGACAGCCAAAGGTGGAATCTGCTGTATTTAACAATCTTTGGAATTTGCGGATACATTTGTCCCTTTAAGGAAATCGGATCTGCTCTCGAACGAGGCCTGTCCCAATGATACGGGCGTTTGAACAGTCAGCTCTGCATAGAGTAAGGAATCAATACACTGTGCAAATAGGAGACTACGACAAAAATATCGTCCAAGAAATAAAATGCGCCGTGTGGATCCATTGCAAGAAGCTGTCATGTATCCAACCGAAAGTTATTAACCGTACCAAAACAGAATTGCAAAAATCACATAGTTTGCATTTTTCAAAGGAGTAGAAGTTTCTACTTGCAATTTCAAAGCAATTTTTGTGTTGTGGATAACCGTAGTGAAAATGTTATTCATTCCATTTTCCATGGTTGACCAAGTTATACATGCAAGAAGCGTTTTAATTTTGAAGTTATAATGTAAACGTGAAACACTGGCTAATTTCACATTAAGTGTCCACCAGCAACATGCAATGTTTAATTACCTATGTTAAATGGACGTACGTACAGCAGTGTGTACCCCTATGGAAAGAAAAAAACGTTATAGGGAGTCATGATTCCGTCTTAATCTGGGTGTAACTTTCAACTGTTCATTATTCCCATGGAGCATGTACCTGATCCCTTGAATGATTATACGGTCGGTTTTTATACGTATCAATCAATCATTAGATTCCGAAGGCGTCACACTTGCTCGTGGCGCCATACTAAAATGCTCTGGCAAACAGGTGAGTATTAAAGGGGACGGGGTAGTCCGTGTGAGAGCGTGCTCCCAGCTAAACCTTGGGAAAAGAATAATTCGCAACCCCAGGATGGGTAGCCTGCTTTCCAAGTTCTAGTCCCTAGTATGTCTTATTATTCATCCATTACGCTGATCGGAATACCCTAGTCATTCCCAGCCAAAATGACCCTCCTTTTGCCAAAGTCTATAGACTGTGTTCCGGCAACCGGGATCAGATCAGGCTAAATCAACTGGCAACCGGTAACGAAGCCGTCTCTGGGAAGTTTTTACGCAGCCACTTCCCAGTGCCTTCCATAGATAAGTCCGAGTCGTTACTTCCAACCGTAGCCATAATGTTTGCACGCAGCCATAAACAGAAACCCATGAATTGCTGCAGTAGTAGAGCAAGCTCGCACTCAAGTCCCATAAGATGAGTTCTTACATACGGCCAACTGTACCAATCTGGCATGCCAAGCAAGCACAGACCGTGTCCGAAACGGGCCGCCAGGGTTACGGCTACGTTCATTGTCAACGTGTTCCCGTGTATTTTCAGCGAGCGCAGACCTAGATGTAGCTCTACACCACAGACTCAGATGCAGCCGCAGAAAGTTGCTAGGCACAGAGGATAATGCTTGGCAAAAAGGGGTCAGCAAACAAATTACCGTAAGACGCATACAGTTTTAATTGACTTGTGTTTTGTTGATTAATTTTGTGGTGACCAGTTGAAATTTACAAGCGATTTTTTTCCAAGTAGCTCTTTGAGTGGACCCTCAAAAGAAGGCGGTTCCCTGGTAACCAGCGATTTTCGTTGTACATCACCTCCACATGGTTTGTATAAAATTATAAGCGCCCACAATTGACGGGCACGAAGCCTTTGGAGTGGCCAATGGGAAAAGAATCCGAAAACTGAAAATTACTCTCGAATGAGAAATATCCCAAAAATGCCCCCGAAGCCCTTCAAGTATTTCCCAAACGAGTATTACAATTCATGATCCCATTTCGAGAATGATGACAATTTACACTGATTTAAAGTCGTTGATCTTTCACCAAGAAATGAATTAATGTAATTTGGCACCTTGTTATCACAATATCATTCATCATCCATTGCTGTTCTGGGCCTGTGTGGTCGCCGAGCGAGTGTGGCACAATATGGCTTTCCCAATAACAGACGTCTGAATTTTTCTTCTGGCTATTCGGGTTAATTTGGACAATAAAAGACGCCAGATTGTTGAGACCCAAAACATATCACGTTCCCGATGGGGTATTCCCGCTATCTCATTATCTGGACCGATTCTAAATGTCGTCCATGCACATCGGCCAGTAATCGAGCAATAATACCCTGTACATTTCACGACAAATCTTTAATGTAAGTTATTTTTATTGCAGTACTCGGTCCTTTCGGCGTGCCATGCCTCACAATCTCGCCATTACGTAGAGGTAGCGTGCTTCTTACAGGTTAAGTGATGTGGTTATGCTGTATATTCTAGCGCGTCATTTTGTACTCACACATGCCTCTGACCCTTAAGCTCCGTAATTTGATACTTGCGGGATGACTGCCTTTTCAAGACTGTGGGTTAATTAAGGGTGTTCCAGCAAGATAAAATTGAGTGACAAAAACATACAGAAATATAATGTCTATAATCTCAATTAGTTGAATTTCCCTTAAGTGTACACATAATAACATTTATAGCCCTAGACATTTCAATATTTATTAAATAACCATGGTTTAATGCTGCCTCTGCTTACGTGCTGTTCAGACAGAATGTTCTGTTTTAGTGGAGGAACAAGGAATAGTGACATGAAGTACAATGTCGTAAGCATCATATGTTAAAACAATCTGGGAAATACTGTCACTGAGGAAGGCACTCTTGTGATTTGAGTAGAGATTCCGGTATCGCATTTAGAAATGCCTTCTAAAACTTCAGTAGGAAAATCTTGAAAGAAATCCCGGTGATTTTAGCCAAGAAAATAGTTTAGCCTCGCAACTATGGCCGTCAAGAATTACTGTAACACGGAGCACCCTTTGATAACGACAGTGTACCAAACATGTCTGCAGTGTGCAGCAGTGTGTACTTTCTTCTCCCTTTTCTTCTGTTGTCCCCCGGTTTTCTTCCTTTCTCGAAATACAGAAATGGGTGTATGTTTACACGTTGCATTGGGTGAATTGGCCGGTCTTTGTAAATGTGTAATGTCGTGTTAAATCGTGTAAGCCCAAATGGTTCACCGTGTTGTTGCATGGCTTGTCAGCATGTTTTGTCAGAAAACATCGAGTTTACATGTCTCATTCAGTCTGCTTTCCGTGCGGCAGCATGCCGTTTGAATATTATGGATGTGCTCCCCTCAACTAACTCAGAATGGATCGATTGTTTACCTGGGCCATTTCAGTATCGCGTGTGACGAGGACCGAGGAGCAGGTTGCGCTATGAAATCGTGTGGCTGGCCAACATTTCAGGCCCTGTGGCTTTTGTGAACAATGCAAAGAGGTTGAGTAAGGTTCGCAGCTAGCAGAGAGTAGCCAGAAATCTCGCCCCTTCGGTACTGCAATCTCGCACAGCGTACGCAAGCGCCTCGGTAATGCAACAGCGGAACTGATTGGTTGTTCCGGCACCACGTCTGTTACCCAATGGCGACGCATGCGCCTCGCTTGATGCACGGTGTGGAGGATGTGCCTGTGTGGAGTGAGGGCTGTGATGGGAAATGCAAGTGGTGACCACAGCGCTATGACACAGTCGTCAGATGGTGCCGATACGGTGGGTTGTGCGTGTGTGTGTGCGCGCTCTGATTCATAACGCCTCTTTGATGTCCCGTGCATTCAGTCACAGCCTAGATGCCACGGACCACCAAGCACTTTTCCCACCGTGCACCCCCGGAGCAGCACAATGAGAGTATTGGGCGGGTGTCAACTTCAGTCCCAAGTCACATCGGATATACTCAACAACCTTGGAAGTTAACGCTTCATTTTTCCCGTGTTTTGAAGGAAGAGGCCGACCGACTTTAACAACAAAAACGGCCGGATACATTTCCGTCGGTCGGCGCTATAAATACGCGCGAGTAGACGGCATTCGAACAGTTCTTCGTCTCCGATGTGATTCCACCGAGGAAACCTGATTTTGTTGACGTGAGGAATTTGGCTACCAGTTGCCCCTCGATCCACGCGCTGAAGAAAGTATGGATAACGTTACTTCGCCGAACCGGTTCAATAACTTGACGAGAGAGGTTCCAGAACCAGACATTGGTTTGACCATCCTCAAGATCACCCTACTGACTCCGATCATCATCTCCGGCATTATCGGTAATCTTCTTGTCTGCATCTCTGTCTTTAAGTTCCGTAGTCTCCGCATCGTTGCCAACTACTTCATCGTGTCGCTGGCCATAGCTGACCTGGCCGTCAGCTCGGTAGTCATGCCCCTCGGCCTGTACCAGGAGGTGGTGGCGGGCCAGTGGTACCTTGGACCAATCATCTGCGACGTCTGGGTGTCCATGGATGTCCTCACCTGTACCTCGTCTATCTGGAACCTCTGCGTGATTTCCGTGGATCGCTTCCTGGCCATCACCCGTCCCATCCAGTACGCCATCAAGCGGACACCGATCATGTCCTTGATCACGATCCTCTTGGCCTGGGGACTGTCCTTTCTCATCTCCATACCTGCCTTAGTGCTGGTGGGTGGGTACGACGCCATGGCCTCGGACGAATGCCAACTCAACGTCAGCCCTATATTTCAAGTTGGATCTTCCTGTCTGTCTTTCTACGTTCCGTGCTTCATCCTCCTCATCGTCTACTACAAAATATTCCGCTCTGTGCAGAAACTTGGCCGAAGGAAACCCGGCAGCGTCAAGTACCGCAAGGGACCAGCCTACAAAAACGGTGTGGGCGCCGGCAAGACGACCCTTGTTACCAAATTCGTCAATGAAAAGACTGAGAATTTCGCCACACTGTGCGACAAACAGGAGCCGTCTAGCGGCGAGACAGAGAAGCCCAACCAAGACAGGAAATCCCAGGAGGCCAGCTCCGGAGAGAAGGTGGGCTCGAGGACTAAGCGCATCTCCGTGGCCAGAGAGCGGAAGGCCACTTCGGTCTTGGCCATTGTGGTGACCGTCTTCATATGCTGTTGGCTGCCGTTCTTCATCACCAACGTGGTGATCGGGCTGTGCCCCAACTGCAACATCACCCACACCACCTTTGCCACCGTAACCTGGCTAGGTTGGGTCAACTCGGCCGCCAACCCCGTCATCTACACCATTTTCAACCGGGAGTTCCGCACCGCTTTCAGGAGGCTGCTGTTCTGCTGTGCCAGCGACTCGTACATGAGAAGACAGTATTTATCCACCCTGACCAATTACTGATGATCGTCATCTCTTCTTGCCATAAGTAGCATTAGATTGACAGTGTCGTTGTGACTGCTTCCGGAGCTCGCTTTGTTCGGCCGCCGGTCTACAAATTGAGGGAGCAATTAATGGAGCGGTATGGTTGTGTTTTCCCTTTTTAGACACCGATTGTTTTTTCGAACATATTATGATGCATCAGATTCACTAATGGCGACGATCGGACTGTTCGGAAAACTATAAAAGATCTGTGGTATTTTCTCTAGCTGAAATGTTCTTACTAATTAATTCTATTACATCAGGTGAACAACCTGGACCCTTTTTTAATAAACAACTCATTCTAGAAAAACGTCTCACCGAGCCGATGGCTAGAGGTGATTTCACACATAAAAGGCTTTGGAAATCTTAACAATGCAATAGTTCGGAAAAAGAACACCTGCCTCCCAGAAAAAAAATCTGTAAATGCGTGGTTTGAGCCGTTATTCTGTCACCGTCATGACATCGGTGAGATTTTTATTTGACAGTTTAATATCTAACTCCGTTTTCAATGCAATTTCAAAAAGGTATGCTGCGGTAAGGAGCTGCAGCGTCACATGTGTTTACTAAAGATCTAGCGACTTTTATTTTGTAAAGCGCCGAAGTTTGAGTTCAGCTAGTTTTCTGTATACCGCGGGGAAGCCAAACTCGAAAACGTTCTAAGGTCAAATTTGATGATGAAGTGGCGTCAATGCCTGGGACTTGTGGCAGTAGTTTTTTGTAGGTTTTCATAAAAAAGGTGGAAGCTTTGATAAGGATGATAGCATCCCTGTGGTACCTTGCCACTAGAGCTATGTCTGTTGGTATTACGTAGCGCACGTTGGTTGTAATATTTTTCTCATATGAGCAATGTAACAATCATGCCTGCCTACAGTACCAATCATTCTAATTAAGTTGCCCAAAGTGTTAGTTGGTTTGGTGAAGAAGCATTTGTGCGAATTTTTATTCATTTGAATGATATGACTTTTTGGCCAACCAAAACTCACCTTCGAAAGCCATACATGAAAGGACCAACAGTCTTGGGAATTGCAGTGAATACTGCATGTAATGTCTACTGTGCTCTTCGGGTTAAATCGACCGATACATTTTTATTCCACAGTGTCGATTATGCGCAATATGTAATGACACTGCCCAAAGAGAAAAACTGGTCACTCGTCGACTTACGCCGTGGTCATGGCACCATCATAATATGGAAACAGCGTGGATGATTGGATTCACAGTCATTTCTTAACACCCTATGGTATTATGGCACTTTACATAATATTGGAATGGATTTTTTTTCCTGTGGAGAAGCCCAAATCAGCAATTAATCAAATTAAATTCTTGAGAAAAATTGGATTGTTTGTAATTCCAACGAACCAGATATTTCAAAACAGATAACTGGCGCAATTTTGTTTTTGTAGGGTGATTTGCGACTAATGGCAATTTCAACTAACCAAATCGTACATAACGAAACCCAAAAATTCACACAATGCCCGATTTTCTAGCTTAAAAAAATACGTGCATTTGAGTCAATGGGAACTGCGGCATTTTCTGTTATTCTTGGGGACCAGTCTTCAGAAATAAATATATCAGAAAAACAATGCTATACTCGAAACATTTGTCCCAGTCTCGGGCAAGGGAATCATGTAATAACGCTTTAAAGGCGGCTTAACGTAGCCGTCCATCGACCGAGTCGCGACCACAATGTAAAAATAGATCGTCTTGAAAGTCAGAGCTGCCCGTCACATGGAAATTATAATACGCCACGGATGAATGGCTTGCGTTTATCTTTTATAATTGGCACGTATATTGATTTTCACTAAGCATGGTTTTGCTGTTGTTGCGCTGGGCAACCAACAATACATGGCAAGTCATTCTTCGGACTAGCTTCGACAGTCAGAATGATTGCAGTTATTAATAATTCGGATCGGTCTTGCTTGCGGGAATCAAGGATGTGGTGGTAAACGAATATACCTGTAGATTTCATTTCAAGAGAACGGTATCGATTTTGCCAAAACACAAACTGCTGTGTGTGGCATCCTTCCAACATACAGGAATTCATTACCTAGCTGTTGAGCTCGAGTCAGTGTAATGAATCCGTTGACGCACTGAATCATGGACTCAATGGCGAGTCCACTAAGCCTTCAAACTCTGGAAAAAGAAAATTTTGAAGCCAGTGCACCAAATACCTGATTCACGTAACTAAATGTCGTGGGAGTCTTTAGTAGCAATGTTTACGCTGAATTTCCTTGTGTAAACGTTGATTCTGCCGACAACCAGATACGGTTAAAGAGTACAAAGATTTCTTGCATTGTACCCCCGTGTACTCTGCCTATCAAAGAAACCGTGTCGGTATTCTGCTGCTTTGCTCGAATTAGCCAGTGTAGAGTTGTTAGTCGTGTTATTGAGACACGAAAGATTGTCGTTTTGCACAGCTGGCATGAATAGTCAGAAAATTCTGACATGGCTTACATTTGCTACCTCCACCACCCAGGGTCCAGTGTATTTCTAATTTCAGCGCCGTTTAAGGTGTAACCATTTTGCAGCCACGCGTATCGCACAATCGGTTATATCAAACAAAATGCGTTGCCTGTGAACGAACTTGCATTAAGCCTTTGTATAGAGAAGAAAGCAGAGGCGGTAATACCGTGTAGAAATAACTATTATTTCAGGAGCGCCCAAGAGGATTGGCATTCAGAGTGAGGTGATATGTACCTCCTTACTCGTCTGCAGAAAATGGAGGCAAAGACCCTTTGCGGTTACCACGGGTCATCAGGGATTTTTATGCCTTAGGAAGCTTACAATTACTGAAGGAGAAAGAAGCACCCTCCCGTCATGACCATCCCCATGGGCCGCCAACTGTGAGCGTGCATGCCAAACGTACGTGTTTCTCAGTGGTTTTAATGAGACTGTGTAGGGCGTTTGCCTGGCGTTATTAGTTATGAGCTGGTCAAATTGATCTCATCAAGATATCGCTAACTTTGTAGCGCTAAATATAGTATCACTGTGGATATAAGTACCAACTAAGCAGACACCATAGCGGTAGCGAGTATAAATAAAGCTCATGCGCTATTTCCCTTTCTGTTACAGAGACGTTTAGTCGTTGACTGTTCAGATGACATTTATAAATGCGAACATTATCAGCTACTGGACGCTGTCGTGGACAATGACATCTTCGTTTAAGACTAAGATACTGACACCTGCATGCGTAAAGACGAAGTGTCCTACAAATTGGAACAGCAGATTTTGGTTTTATCACCCATACCAAAACTCTGCCGTAGCACGCGTGAAATCGTCACCTGTTCAGAGATAAAGTATGACAGAACCTGTCTGACTGTTTGTTTGTAGACGGACGCTGAATTGACGTGACATTTACGATACTGTTTTGGAATTGTTTCTTAAGAAATTGTGCAGATACAGTGGGGAGTTTCACCTCGGTCGGAGAAGCCTCATGAAGGTAAATTGATCGATTCCAAGAAACCCAATCGTCTTGGCCGGGGTACTGACCACGCATTTAATCTCGTACCTTCACCGCTGCCAATTTTGCTGACTCATCCCCAGGCTCTATTTAGACCTGTGTTTGTTGTCTTTTTAGAATTTTTCAGTGGCTGTGTTTTATTCCCTCCGTGACTTTCTTCAAAAAGAGAGGGGCATAGTATTATGTCAATACAAGGTGACTGACGTTTGTAATAATCAACAAATCTTGACACTGCCGAAGCATGAAGTACTACTGATAACAGAACATCTTTGATATGACGCAGGGGCTGCTGTGGTTAATGATATTCAGTGCCAATCTATGAAGGAAAGACATTACGAACAGTGTAGGCCCGTGTGCTGTTTTGATGCAGAGTAGGCGTGTAGGCAGATCCGCGTCAACACCTCATGACAGTCTGCTTTTAATGAGGTTTTTGTTTCGTCTATTTGCCAGTCCAACCATGATTTCATTTTCGTCAAAAAGGTCTCCTTGTGGTCTTGCAATGAGACGTATTTGGTGCACTGGCTGAGTAATATGCCCCATAGGCCTTTACTTAAAGCCCCCCCCCAAAGGTATTGTTTAAAGAGAAATTTGATGTTACAAATTTGCTTCAAAAAACTGTGTGTTGAAAAATTTCTCACCACGCTGCATAACACGTACCACATCTTTACGAAGCAAGCGCTGCCAGCTACACTGTTTGCAGCGTATGTGCGCTTGATTTTTGTGCATGGACACATACCTTTCCCTGAGCAAGGTATGGTTTATTCGGGCTATTTCTTAGTACAATGTATCAAGGCAAAAAAAAAAAGTTTACAGAGGCTGCATGTGATGCAACAGGCACTTTCGTCGTAATTTCAAAGCACAGTGAAAAAACCTTCCATAGGACTGCATGCTTTGTGCGTGCCAAATCGACGGTGACATTTATTTCTAGCCAACGATTGCACAAAGACTGCTCATGGGTTGCGGGCGTGTTTACTTTACCCTTACGACTGCCGACTGTGTGTGCCCTACCCATTACGCGCTGACATGTTCCCCTAGTGTCCAATGTAGCATGGTTGCAATAATATTTGACGCAGAGAACAGTTCGCGACAATGAAGCAACCGAGGCATTTTGATATCTGATGCTACCCAAACGGACGCTATCGTGCGACGCCTGGGGAAATCTCGAGTTTGAACAATGTCGGTACATCGTTAATATGTTTGTGTACAGGCAACGTGGAGACAAAATCTTTCAACTTACCATTTTGGAGTGGAATTACACTTTTTGTTACTGTGCAACTTAATGCACCATAAGGCAAAACTCCAACGTCCAGTAGGCATTGACCAATGCTGCCCCGAAGGCCAAAGACAATCAAGTACAGATAAACAATTAAATTGAAACATTTTATTCAGTATTAATTTTTCTGTTATTCTACTCTTATGTATAAATTTCAAGATTTGCTCAGAATTGCTAAAACAAATTGCTTCGAAGATGACTACAGATCATGATAGGAACTGACAACACGCGGTTGTCTCTCTGGCAGACTTAAATAAGATTGATTGGAGAAGTACCTTTCAATCTATGTCAATTAGACTGTGACTTCAACGAGACACGATTGGAACGAAATGGAGACAAAGCAAACATGATTTTTAGTTCACCTCCCTCCTTCAAACTACGTCCGGAGAGCAAACAGAAAATGGCCACGGCCACATTTATTTCCACGAGTGCTTGATGAACTCCGAACCCGGTGGAATAGAGGGGAATCGTGTGTTCGGAGGATCACTATCACGGGAACTGGATATACTAGAATTAAAAAAGCCCGCCGCGGAAAAAGAGCTTCAGTCTTCATCAAATTCATCGGGGATGGCACACTAGTTTTAAATCAATTCTCCCTGTTTTTTTTCTGTTCATTTTTCTTTTGGAATATATATCATTTTTTCATCATAATTGTAGTCTTACTATTCACCTGGTTCTCTTTAAATGTAAATGTTAAAACTTAACAAGCTATTGCTTACCTTGTCTCATTGTATGACAACACGTGTTCTGGACCCTTTTATAATACTTCAAGTATCAATTATGTCAAATTTCCAGTTTGCAATTAATTTCATATCCTGATAATAAGTCCCTTTTTTGTGAAGTAGCATCTGTGCACCTGTTTCTGTATTACTCAGAGGGAACATCTATAACACATCGTCTCAGCCCTGTGTTTTTGAACGTACCAGCGTTTGGTTACAATAAATGCATCTCCATTGAAGTGGTTTTTATGCTAATGTTGATCAACCAGTAAAATGTACGGACTAGACCCTGATAGCAGAGACATATTAACTTTGCAAGAACTTTAATTTTGCAACAGGCAGCGTAGAAAGGTGTGTGAATTTTGACATAACGGTGTCATCCTTATCCTGTGTATTGTTTCTATATTGTGTATATCAGTTTCGCTGACGAGAAATAAAAATACACTACGTTTTTGTATAAAATGCAAGTTTGAAGTACCTCCTAAATGTCTGATTTATTGGGCATTAACAAGCACGGTTATTTTCTTGCGCGTTGGCTGAAAAAGAATAAACAAACCATACCGCATTTGTTTTCTGCACCGTAAAATTAAGGCCTTCGTGGTAACACTTCACGAAAGCGTTGTGATGTTAATAGTCCGAGGCCAAACACGTTGTGATGTTAATAGTCCGAGGCCAAACACGTTGTGATGTTTATATTTCAACAAAGACCTGTAAAGAAGTTTTGACACAAAGACACTTTGGGGTGTTATTATTAACAAGACACAAATATGCGTTTATCGGACGGTAACACTTCCTGAACACCGAAAAACGTTTATTTCCAAAAAGGTGTTAAATTTTAAAGGGTTACATCTTTTCAACCAACGTAAAGGTGCATTAGTAAGGGGCGTTAGTTTTTACATTATATCGAGTGCTAAAAAACGAGATTCTTTTACCGTCGTCCATTTGATTCCAAATGACTTTCTCTTAAGACTTCCTACCAAATGTTGCACTTCACCGAAAAGTAGCTTTTTCTGAGCACGAACGACCCTCCGCAAATCTACCTCGAAGTCCAAATTAATGATTGAATGTAGTTTCACTCAACTGTATCCCTGTTACGAAACACTATATAAGGGTATTTGTTACCAGAAACCAGAAATTCAAATTAAAGATGCACCTTATGCATTATTTTAAAATTCTAATCTTTGGAAAAAAGCATATTAAAGGCTTGCTTATTGTATTTTTGCTTTATATCCAATGAGAGACCGTTCGTATTGAATTAAGTCAGAGAAGTATATGTGATCGTGTGTAGCGAAAGATCAATAATGCGTTCCAAATTAGAATTGTTGCAATAACAGAGATGTCTTCACAAACACCCCGCCTGCTTTGACTTGACGCGGAACACGACGAGCCGCCAGGGCGCTGGCATGTTTTTTTAATGTCTAATTAGATTGTTGATAACAGCCCAGCGAGTCATAATTAGTAAAGACCCACTTTGCCAAGTTGATGATAGTGATGACAGCGATGGCTATCACCCCAGGTCCATTAGAATTCATTTTCGCCACGGATGACGACATCAACACCTTAAAACGGCATGACTTGACTTGCACTAATGACCAAAACAAATGGCTTTTGGTTTTTCAACATATTACCGTTTACTTTTTGTGCCCAGGTGTAAAACATTAAATCTACTTTGATAAATTCTTAATTAATAAACTAAATTCTTTAAAAAATTCTTTGATTAAATCTGATTGTGTGTACACTTTTTCTCTCTTTGTTTGATTTCTAATACAGTACATGATATCAAAGTTTGTAACTGATTAAGCTTGTCCCCTCTTAAATCAAAATATTGTTTTAATGTAACTTAGATAAATAGATAAAAGAGATTGTTAGATGCATTCTATCTTGTTATGCTTTAGTCAAAAGCATAAACACCGCACGTGTTTATTTACTTGCTCTTAATGCATCTTATATTTCTGTATGAACTGCAACATTACAAAATTTGAGAGTCACACGAGGCGTGCTTGTTTGCTTAGACCAAAATCAAAGACTTAATGGGAGTTGCCGTTGGTTAAAGGTTACAGTGGATCTAACAGCTGCTTTAACCACCATAACAAGGGATTCAAAATATCTTGGAAGGTTATCAACATTGTTCCTTTTTAACTCTGTACCTCATCTTTCCACTCAGTAGTGGTTTAGTCAAGCGCCGTCCTTTCTTAGTGGAGAACAATCTTCAAGGTGACAGTGCCTTAAAATGTGAGAGAACTGGATTTGTTAGGTTATTAGATAATGGGCCTTGAGCTTGACCAGCTTGAAGAGAGGGCGCTGTGTCCTTAGCGACGGAGGCTCCTTTGGTACTAACTGCGCATGGCTGGTTCATGAACGACTATGAAACGCAGGCGTTTCAGTCACGTCGCTACCAACACAATGAACACTCCCTACTAACGTGGCTCTGTTCGACCGATGAGGGGGTGTCTTCATCTCTAGGCTGATAAAGGAAAACATCCTACGTATAGTTTTGGACTTTTTAATGGCGTCAATTACAGTCAACAGCACACTACCTAGACCTTCTCGCTTTTTGCATTTACCTTCTTGCATGAATATTCACAATGTACAGAACCCTTAATTATATAGATATACAATGAGTCAATGAACTGCACGGATGGTATTCTCTTCGAAAGAGCAGTGACTACAAAAACAAATCCAAGTCTTCAATTTTCGTTTCTTTTCCTTTTTCCAAAGAATTAGGAGTCTTAACCCTCCATGATATGTAAGTTTTGAGCAATTACTTCAAGCAACGTTTATATGCGGCTGATCCTGTGTTCCTTTTCTTTTTTCTGGGATTGGGGATCTAGTCGAATTTGTTCAGACTCATTTTACAAACGCACGAACTTCAATGTGAGTGAGTGCGCGGTAGATAGGAATAAATGGGGACTTTTTTCGACTTATCGTTTATTTTGTGGCGTGTTGGGAATCTCTTTCGATTTCCAAACAAAATTAGCAATTCAAGACCATCGAATTCTGCTCCAGCCGGCATGAAATGAAAGCATGTGTTCTGCATCAGTTATTTTGCGCGGGAGTCAGGAGTTTGCGGTCGCTCCGTACTGTACCTGCCGGTACATCGCCCCAGGGAACACCAAGGTCCAACCACGCGCGCAGACGGGACAGGGCAGTTGCATATTTTCAGACTGAAGGTGTATATTAACCCTTGTGGTTGAATTTTTATTGGGACGGAAATAGCCGAAAAAAGGATGTCTCCCTGGAATAAGCGAAATTCCCTTATGAATATTCCCTGGCCATTCCCGTGCGCGACCGCGCGTCGTGAGAAAAAAAAACCGTTACTGTTAATGCCGCGCCAGCGATTTTGTACGGTCGGCACTTGAATGTGATCCGACGGGTTTTGTTTTCCTGGGGCCAGCGTGCGAAAGGCAGGTAGAGGGTGGGATAAACCACGGAACCATTTTGTGGTTAATTATATCATTTTTCAGCGGCTCGAAGTGATTGATTTTGTGTCAACGAGGTGATTGCACGATGGAAATGCCGATAGGTGGGCCCCGTGGAAGCAGTGTGAGGGCCATGGTGTCAGGTGGAAGAAAGGAAAAAATAGCCAGCGGCAAAGAAGGATTAATTACGTGTGCTTTGAAAAAATAAGCAGACGGAGGAAGAGTTGACATTTCCTTTTACTTCCAGTCTTCAGTGGGCCGAGATGTCAATCAGTTCTAGCCGTCAGAATACACCCGATCAGCTTTATTTATTGTCACACTGGACTTAACACCTTGCTCATTCGTAATATCTGTGGCTTACAGTCTGCTAGATGTTTTTGGTTGTTATTCTCTTGCAACAAGAATGGTTACTTTGGTGTTTCGCAACTTGTCATATTTCAACACTTTTGATGAATTCTCCTGTTTATTTTTCGGCTGCGGGAGATGGAAATAATTTGTTTGGCAGACAAATACACCCACATAAACACCGTGCGGTAAGTCACGTTGTATAGCGACAGAAGTTGGCAATCGCCTCAATCGAACGAAAGGAGCTTGCAAGTAGGCACTTTTCCTGACCAAGTGAGAAACTTTTCAACATTTTTTTAATGAGCGACTTAGGCTTTTGCAGAATGAATTACGGGCTGGAAATCGATGCGATACCTTGAGTGTCCAAACCATAATCCTCCGATTCACTGACGGCGAGGGAAACGCTTTTCTGCTGATTACCAATCCCGGGTGCAGCGGTGTCGCTTTTCACGCTTCGCTCGCGAGCGGGTCAATTATTTCTCGCTGGCCCCAGTCCCTCCGTGCCCCGGTGACCGCTCGAGCTGGGGTTCAATATATTCCTCGGTGTTCTGTTCTGCCCTTTCCAATCTCGTAATCCGAGAGGCCGGCCCATGAGTAAGTTTTTATTTTACCGTTTCAGTGTATGTGAAAAATACGAGGGGGGAACTTTGCGCAAACGTGCAGGTAGACCTATAACAAGTAGCCCTTCAGTACCGGGTTGCCTGTGGCGCAAGCTGTACACAAGACTTCATAGGAAATGACCCATCTCTCGCAGATAGAACCAGGGCTGTAGATTAACCCTGCGAACTGAGAATAAGGGCAAGGTGCGAGCCGGAGGTAGGCTTCCACACACGTTGCAAACGGCACATGGTAGCATGTGTCTTATGGTGTCAGCGCCAAAGTCAAACTTGGCTTACGTTAGAATGACAAGACCTGGTGTTCAAATCAGTCATGGCATGGGCAACCTTCGCATAAGTGGTTTCACTTTGGAGCTCATTATCAGCGCTAATGGCTTTCACCACCGCAAAAGACACATAATGTTTTGATGGTGATGTGCAATTGCACGCAATTTGTGGCAAGGGGAGCCTCATGCAAGCCGACCGTACATTAATATGCACAGTTCTATTGGAAGGCGTGTAAAAGTTTCTTCATTCTAATGATAGACGGTAATGATGGATGTTGTACATATAGGCCCAACAGGTCTACACCAAACGAGTCAGAATGCGAGACAGCATGCTGAATAGCACAACTGGTCACTTACATTTCAGTTGTCCATTACGTTCTTCATTATCTTCCTCTAAATCCATCCAAACGAAAGAGTCAGCTGCTTTCCCCTCCTTTGCATTGCTGTTTTATTTTTATTTAATTGTAGCTTGCAAAAGCCAGTAAAGATGCAGTTTTTGGATTGTCGCTACCAAGATGAGCGCAGCTGGTATACGATGAATAGTACGGACAACATGCCTTAAACGAAGCGTTCATAGTCAGATATATGGGAACAACCATATCGAATCAACTAAGCCGCGTGGTTTTTCATTATCGTGCCCCTTAACGAATCGAGTTTAGTTCATCAGCGGTGTATCCGATTTTTGGTGTCCAGGGGGCAAAACAGATTTCTTTTCTGAAACGACTTTAGGTTTTTATGGAAGAATCTTGAGCCCCCTACCCTAAAATGGTGCCTGTCGTGTTTCTAAAAATTTTGGCTCTTTTCAATCTGTAAGAAATAACATGTCA